TTATCCGGAACATTCAGGAGCTCCTCAAAAGGACCATAATGCAGGCCGTGAACCAGATCCGGTGGGTCTCGGTGGTTGCGCGCCTACCCTGTCTCCTCAGGGTGTCTCCTCACCCCTTGGGCTGGCTCTGGGCAGGAAGTTGGGGTGAGCAGGCTGGGAGTCTCAGAGAGGTGGGGGCTTGTCCCGGGTCTCAGCCAGGAGGACGGGGGAGGTAGGGGCAACTGGTGGGGGTGCAGACTCCTGCATGGCCTGGGGGCCTGGGCATCCAGAACCCAGGCCAGCCTTCCAAGGGCCGGGAACATCTTCTCCTGGACGCTGTTGGCCAGGCAGAGCCTGGGTGGCCCGAGGACCCCTGTCCTGGACAGATGAGGTGGACTGGTTCACAGTGGAGAAGGGGGTGTGTGCTTGCTCCTGGGGTGGTACCTTGTGCCCCCTCCACAAACACAGACCCCGCCCGCCCCAGGCTGAACCGAGAGCACAAGGAAACTTGTGAGATGGACTGGTCTGACAAGGTGGAGGCCTACAACATCGACCAGACGTGCGCGCTCTACCACAACCAGAGCACCGAGGTGCAGTTCCACCCGCACTCGGCCAAGTTCGAGGAGAGGTGGGCCACCTCGGCCCCAGCCCCTCCCAGGGAGCCCCCTCCAAACCCTGGTGCCCACCCCGTGCCTATGCTCCTGCGTCCTGTGCTGGGGACCGTCCCCCAGCCCCCCGCCCCTGACGCTCTTGCACGGAGGGCCCTTTGTGCAGCTCTTCTGCCCACAGGCTCGGCGGGCGAGCAAGGAACCCCGCGCAAGCACCCCGGACCCCGCGCAAGCACCCCGCCCCCCCCCCCCCCCCCCCCCGGCTCACCGGGGGCTTAGGGTTACCGGCAGCTCCTCGGGCGGCCGGCAGGGGGCGCGCAGCCACCACGCCGCGGGGCGCGGGGGGCGCTGGGGGCGCGGAGGGCGCGGAGGGCGCGGAGGGCGCGAGGGGGCACAGGGCCGCGGGGCCGCGCTGGGGGTGCTGACTCGTGCGGGCGCAGTGGTCTCGGGACGCAGGGGAGGGCCGGGTCACAGGAGCCGTCGGCAATCCGTGCCCGCCCGCAGCGCCTCCACGCCCGAGACGTGGGCCGGGTTCACCCAGGACAACCTGCACCGCGCAGAGCGGGAGCGCCTGGCCTCGGCCAACCTGCGGGTGCTCGTCGACTGCATCCTGCGGGACACGGCCGAGGACCTGCGGCTGCAGTGCGACGCGGTGAACCTGGCCTTCGAGCGCCGCTGTGAGGAGCTGGAGGACGCGCGCCACAAGCTGGAGAACCACCTGCACAAGGTGAGGCCCCGGCCCCGCCCCGCCCCGCCAGACCACGCCCAGACGCGGCCCCGCCTCACGCCCGGCCCCGCCCCACAAGGCTCCGCCCACCAGACCACGCCCAGGCCCGGCCCCTCCCTGTAGGGCCCCGCCCCTGACCCCCGTCCCGGCCCAGCCCCACCCAGGCCACGACGCGTCCCTCGCCCTACTCCAGCCCCTCCCAGCTACCGCCCCTTCAGGTCCGATCCGCGCCCCTAGGCCCCGCCCCCAGGCCCCACCAGGGCCGGCCCCACCCAGGCCACGTCCCGTCCCTCGTCCCACCCAGACCCCATCAGGCCCCGACCCCGTACCCACCCACCCCCAACCCCCGCTCCTTGTGGACCAGCCCCGCCCCTGGCTTGGTCACAACCTGGCCTGATCGGGCCGTTATCCTCTATCCTGTCCAGCCTGAGGGACCCCAGGCTCCAGGCACCCACTCCTCCCTGGGCCCTCACTAAGCCAATACAAAACCAGGTGACACTGGGGGTGGCTGTCAGGCAAGAGCAAGAGGGAAGGTGGCAGGAGGTGGCCAGGCCTACTAGGGCTCTCTGACCCTGGGCTCTCAGGGTGCCCTTTGCTGCCGCCATGTCTCTCTGGTTCTTCACCAGGGTTGGGGCCCAGTGGCCAGCAGGGTGGGGGCAGGGGGGCGCTCAGGCCAGAGCTGCTGGACAGCAGGCTTTGCAGCCCCACCCTGGCCCTCTGGGTGCCCTTGGTGGGGCCGAGGGGGCCGAACACATCTTCCTGCCTCCATACGTCCCCCCGAGTCCGTGGACAGGGCCGGGGGTGCGGTGGGGGTCACGCTAGCTCCCCCAGGGACTGTCCTGTGTGCAGACGCTGCGGGAGATCACAGACCAGGAGCACAACATAGCCACGCTGAAGCAGGCCATCAAGGACAAGGAGGCGCCCCTGAAGGTGGCTCAGACCCGTCTGTACCAGCGCTCGCACAGGCCCAACGTGGAGCTGTGCCGGGACGCCGCGCAGTTCAGGTGCCCGCCAGGGCTGTGGCTCAGGGGCAGTCCTGAGGACAGGCTTGCCTGTGTCCCCCTCAGCCCGGCCCCCTTGGCCTCTGGGCCCCACAAACACCCTGCCCCCCGCCCACACAACTAGACGCGGATGTGCCTTTCAGGGCACTGAGTGTCACGGACAGCGTGGCACTTCCTGCCTCACCCTGTGCTGTGCAGTCTTGCCGGCAAGGGATCTCAGGGTTTGAGAGGCTGAGCCCCGGAGGCCCCTGGCCTCCATGCCCACACCGCCTCGGGCCCCCCATCCAGACCCCCCGTGGCACGGGTGGCCCCTTGGCCCTGGCTCAAAGCCGAGGCGGGATGGGGTCTCGGGTGTTTCTGCCCTTGTTGGCAGAATCCCCCCGGCATGGCTCCCTCCCTGCCCTCAGCACATACAGGGGACTGGGGCCTTGGGCAGCACCAGGGGTCCGTCCAGCCTGCCTCCAGGCTCCAGGAACACAGGGACCCAGGAGCCTCCATGCTCCGCCAGCATTGCACCTAACTGCGCAGGTGTCCCTGAGCTCAGCCCTACAGAGTGCTGCCCATGTGGGCTCTTCCGGCTGGGCGGGGGCAGGGGTGGCAGCAGAAGTCCCAGCTCAGGCCCAGCGTGGTGGCCCTGTGGGGCTGCGGGCTGAGAGCACACTGCACGCCCTCTCCCACCTGCCACGGGGCTCGTGTGGCATCCTGGCCCGGCCCACTCCACGTGGCTGGCAGGTCTCCCTTTGGACTTTAGGGACCTCCTGTGGCCCCGCAGCTTGGCCTGGGACCCCTCACCAGGGCTCCCAGGCCTTGCCTGTCCCAGCCTGGAGGCCCCAGCTCATGCCTTCCTCCCCGGCCCCCCAGGCTGGTGAGTGAGGTGGAGGAGCTGGACACGTCCCTCGCGGTGCTGAAGGAGAAGCTTCTAGAAGCCGAGCAGTCACTACGCAACCTGGAGGACACGCGCATGCACCTGGAGAAGGACCTGGCTGTCAAGACCAACAGCCTCTTCATCGACCGCCAGAAGTGCATGGCCCACCGTGCCCGCTACCCCACCGTCCTGCAGCTGGCCGGCTACCAGTGACTGGGGCTGGCACCACGGCGGGTGCCTCTGCGGCCTGGCTGGACGTGGTCAGGGACTGTCCCCAGGCCCCCAAATAAAGAGTGTATTAGCTTTCTACTTGTCGGCGTGGTTCTGGGTGGAGGTGCCGCAGCCTGGGCAGGTGCGTTTTACCTACGGATCCCCTGCCCAGGCCGGGGGAGGTGGGGGTTCAGAGCCTTTGCCCGGGCAGTTCCTGCTGCCTGTGGTGGCCTTGGTTCCCATCCGGAGAGGACCGGAGAGGCCCCTGCATTGCTCACCTCGACTCAGTGCCCCCCCCACCAGCAGCTCTGAGCCTGCTGAGCCTCGGACTGGGGCCCTCTGTCTGCCGGAGCTGCCGGCAGGACCCCGCGGAGGAAGCGTCCCCTCCTGCCACCGTGGAAGCCACAGCCGTCGTCACCCCAGCCGCGACCAAAGCCCCAGCTTTCTCCTCCGTGTGCCCTGGACGCTGTCCCTGTGCGGCTGGCTGGCTCTGCCCTGGGGGACTGGGCCCAGGGTTGTGAGCTTCTGCTGCAGGGTGCCAGGCACGAGACCCCTGGGGCCTCTCCCTGCCACCTCCCCCTGACACTGGGAGGGCACCCGGGAGGACAGATGCCTGGTGACTCTGAGCCAGGGGTGGGCCCCCCACTCTCAGGCACCTCGGTCACCTTGGGTGGCCAGTGTCCCGTCTGGCCTCTCCTTAACCGGAGGGTGAGTCAGGCTCAGGTACGGCAGGTACCGGGCTCCCAGTGCCCACCTGTCCATGCACCATCCCTCACCCCTCACCTCCGTGAAGGAGGGTCCTGCAAGCACCCACCCCGCCCGGGGCACACAGCTTCCAGTCCCTGTCCACCCGTGCAGGGCAGCTCAGGAGCAGAGCTCAGGGAGTGTCCAGCCCCTGCCCCCTGCGACAGCTGCCAGGGGACTGAGGGACAAGGTGGATGCTGAGCGGCTGCCGGCTGGCCGTTCGTTGTCCCTGGTTGTGTCGTGGCTGCCAGGGTCTGGAAGGTTTGTCCCCCTGTAGAGACAATCCACCAGACCACGGAGCTGAGGGATGGTTTCCTGGGATCCTGGCCCCCACTGCCCGGCCAGGCTCGTGGGAAAGGTGAGGCCACGACACAGCTCGGTGTTCTCCAGCTGCCTCAGCGACCTTGACCCTTCTGGGCTCGCAGTGGCACAGCTGTGGACCCAGGCCCTGAGGCCAGCAGGGTCCTGGGGAGGGGGAGCAGGGTCGCATCAGGCCACCAGAGCCACCGGAGGGGTCCCGCATGGCAGGATCCATCTGGGGACGGGGTCCCGGGGTGCTGGGTGGGGAAAGCGTGGTGGGGGTAACGGAAGGAGAAGGTCCGGGGCCGCAGTGTCACCCCTCTCCGCTCCCTACTGTGAGCCCCCTGGTGCCCCAGGGCTGCCCCAGCACCGCTGGGTTACCCCTGGCTTCCACGGGTTCCTTGTGTGTGGAGCCCTCCAGCCTGGCCCCACAGTCACTCTCACGAGTGAGTGACCCCGCAGGGTGCCCAGGTCCAGAGGCCCCGTCCATTCCTTACAGGACCCCCTGTGTGGCCCCATTGAGTAGAGTCTGTGGTGACAGGCACTTGGCCTCACCCCGGGCCCCCATGCTAGGGCTGCTGCTGCTGCTGAACTGGGGGCCGTGTGGGCACCTTGTCCCCCCACCCAGGCTCGAGTTGGCGGTCAGTGCGGCCTTCCTGCACTGCAGTGGGCTGGGGGCAGGGAGGGAGCCCAGCCCTGCCGTGGGTGACGCTGTGGCCCCCTGGGGGCCACTGACCCGTGGGGCCGTGACGCTCAGCCACACTCCCGTCGTCACGGAGATGTCAGGCGGTGTGTCTGAGGACGGCTATTTCTGTCCAGGCCCTCCCACCACCTGCTGAGTCACCCTCAGCCCCTGCTGACCACCTGCACCTCAGTGAACACTGGGCAGCCGGGGGACCCACCCAGACCGCAGGGACCCCAGGCTTCCTTCCAGGACCTCCACTCACATCTGCCTCTCTGGAGGCGCCCCCCATATACCGGGCGAATTTAGCTCCCTGTCCCCTCCCCCAAGGGACACACAGTGACCGCCCATCTCCTGGGGAGGCTCAGGACAAGGGACGCTGGGGCCCGCAGCAGGGCCAGAACGCGCCCAGACCCCCAGGGGCAAGGCTCTTCCTGCTCCCACCTGCCACAGGGGACGCCCCCAGCCACTGCTGAGCCCATCGATGTCCATTTTACAGGTGGGGAAACTGACGCTCGGATGCAGGGAACCACAGAGGTCGGGCCTGTGCTCCTCTCTGGTGCCCAAGAGGCCGGAGTGAGACCGCCAGCGAGGACGCCCCCACCTGCCCTGGGCCCAGGCTCTCACAGGGACGCTGCGCCGGGAAGCAGGGGCCGGGTATGGGCCTCCAGGAGTGGCTCCCAAGAAGCTGCCTGGTCTCAGAGGCAAGCCCGCACCCGGCGCTGACAAGGTGTGGGGCCCTGCAGGGCCAGTGCATCGGGGCACAGGGCCCCGGGCTTCACCCCTCCTCCGTCTGTGCCACCTGCCGATGGGGCTTGAAGACAGCCGTCCCCACAGGGAGCCGCCGGTCCGCTCCAGGACAGAGCTCCAGCTGGCGCCGCCCCTGCCTGCGGCCCTCACACCTCGTGCCCCCTCAGCCTGGCCGCGGGGTCCCCCACAGGCAGCGGCGCTCCTGTCTCCCCCCTTCTCTGTCCTTGACCCTCCCTGGTCCTCTGTCCCTCAGGCCATGTCTGTGGCCTCCCCCACAGGCTGCTGGCTTGGGTAGAGGGGAAGCTTACCAGGGAAACACATGTCCCCACATCCAGAGGCCAAGGCGCTGGCCCCATCCGTAGGTCCAGTGTCCAGCCGTCCAGACCCAGAGCGGAGACAAGGCCAGGCCCTGGTGTGGGCTGGGTTCTGGCTTGCAGCGGACCCTGCCCCTTCCTACCCTGCCTGGGGCAGGGGCGGCCCACAGGCCCCGCCCTTTATCTTCTGAAAGGCTGGGCTAAGCCCAAGGACCCCTGAGCAGGGGTCACAGCTCATCTGCTTGGCCGAACACCGGAACCCTGGCATGGCACGGCGGAAGGAGGGCACAGACACCAGAGACGGTGGGGGTGTCCCTGTCACCCGGTGGGCCTGGTACAGGCATGGTGGCCCCGGTCTGTGCCCCCCACATTGGCCTCTAGCCCTCACCCAACTCCACCAGTCTCAGCTCTGGCCTGCCTCCCTGCCAAGTGTCTGCACCCCAGAGGACAACGGCCAACCCACAGAATGGTGCCCCACTCACCAGTCCCAGACACCCCAGACCCCCAGACCCATCTGTGGCACAGGGCTGGCAGGAGGACCCCGGGGCCCCCATGGCAGGCCCACGCAGTCCCTGCGGCAGGTGGCGGGTGGAGGGCAGGCCGGGTGGAAGGTAGCAATGCCCAGGAGCTCTGACGCTGGCCCAGGGCTTGTTGGTCTTGGATGGTCCAGGGGAAGCTGTGGGCGCCTGGGGTGGGCATGAAAGGGCTCTTTCACGGGCTTTTAGGGCAGTGACACCAGAGACAGCCAGGCAGGCAGCGGCAGCAGACGGCATAATGGTAACAGGGAGTGTAGGGGTGAGTGGGGGTCCTCACAGATACTGCAGGCAGGCTGGGCTTGGAGGGGGTCGTCTGTGCTCCCCTCCAGGCCTCAGAAGGAAGGAGGCTGCAGCCCAGACCACCTGCTGGGCAGGCCCAGGGGGCCACGTGGCCAGAGACCCCAGGCACAGGCGCACCTATGGAGTGGGATCGCCCGGAGGGTCGTGTCAGGTCCCTCCATGGCAGGAATAGAGGAGGGGCTCGAAGGGTCCAGTACAGCCAGGAGGTCGGGTCAGGGTCTGCTGGGCTCTGGGGTGAGGTGGTACACAGAAGGGGTCCCCCCTCCAGGAAAGCTCAGCCTGAGAATGGGTTGTGCCCCCACTGTGCAAGAGGAAGAAACCCATCCTGGGGTGCAATCCCTGAGGGCTTCCTGGAGGAAGGTCCCGTGTCTTTTTTCAGCAGGGTTGCACGACGGGGAAGAGTGAGGACCCTGACCTCACACTCCTGCCCTCACAGGGGCTCCGCCCTGGCTGAGCTTCCCGGATGCAGCAGGAGAAGCGTGGATGCGCCAGGCATCCGGCAGGGTCTCCTGGGGGAGGGGAGGCAGAGGCAGGAGGCCAGGGCCTGGTGGGGATTAAAGACCATCTTTTCCAACCGGAGGAGCCTCCCAAGTAGCTTTCCTTCCCCTGGCAGCTCAGGATGTGGGAACCACCTTCTGCCCAGCTAGGTGGCTGGGGAGAAACTGCCTGGTAGAGATCACCACCCAACCTGGGCCCGGAGCCCAGCCCCCCAGCCCTGGGGCCCTGCCCGTCCCTGAAGCAGCCCGAGGGCTCCAACAGCCATGGGGTGGGGGCTTGGGGAGCTGAATCAGAGCCCACCCCCCATGACAGCTCCCCTGAATCTGCCAGGAGCGGGGCCCTGGCTGTGGGGGCTGCAGGCCATTAGGGAACCTGCCCCTGCCCAGAGTCAAGGCCGCAGGGAGGGGTGCGGGGGGCCTCCCAGAGCAGACCCGGGAAGGGGCCCGGCCACGCCAGGTTGGACAGCGTGGGGCTGCCTCAGCCACCCTTGCTGGGGGCTCTGGAGGGCCAGGTGCGAGCTGGCCCCTGTGCTGGCCCCGGACGACTCCGAGGCTACTTTAAGTTTCCGGGAAGCATGCAGGGATCCACTGGTGATGTCTGTCAGGGGCAGAGCCTGAGGGTCCAGGAGGCCCACACAGGCAGATCCCTGGCCTCACCTGACCTTTCCCCCAGACCAGGGGGCACGGCCCAGGCGGCTGTGGCGCTTGGGGCTCAGTTGGGGCCCCTCCTCCTCAGACGCTGACCCCCTCTGCTCCCCCACCAGACTCTGGTATGGACGGTGGCCTCTGGCCTCCTGCTCTTCCTGGGGCTGCATGTAGGGGCCTGGCCCAGCCTGGGGCCTCCCCAAAGTCCCTGTGTGCAGTGCCGCCGCCCCGCCCGGCCCCCTGCTGTCCCCCACCACACAGGGGAGCCGTGGGGGCTGCTGCCCTGCGTGCACCCTACTGTGGACATCTCCATCCTCAAAGGTGTCTGTGGGGAGGCGGCCCCACCCCAGCCCTGTTCCTGTGAGGACACCCCACACTGGGGGGCAGGGCAGGAGAGCCCTGATGGAGGCAGCTGGGCCCCCGTGGGCAGGACACTGGACACTCGCCTCTGGCTCCCGGCAGCTGCAGAAAGGGGGAAGCGAGGCAGCCTGGGCAGGGGGCTGTGGCAGAAGGGCGCCCGAGGCCCCTCTGTCCTGCTCACCCACCCGCAGCGGTGCCCTAGGCCCAGCCTCCAGGGGGAGGCTGGAGGGAGGCCCCGGGACCCTCTGGAAGGAGGCCGGCTGCACAAGCCCTCGTCCTGGGGTGCTGCACAGCAGCTGCCCTTAGCTGGACCTGCCAAGCTCCCAGCCTCACGTCCTGTACAGACCAGGGCAGACCATCCTCTGGCAGCTCCTGCTGTCCCCGCCACCCCCACTGCCCCTCCTGTTCCCACGCGGTGGGTGGTTGAGACCCCAGAAGAGATGCAACTGGGGCCGTGGCTTCTCCTGGCCCCCTGTGACCCCGGACCCCATGCCCTGACCCCTGGTCCCTTCTCCTCCTGCAGGCGAGAAGGGCGAGCCAGGGGTCGCAGGTCCCTCTAGCAGCAGCGGGAAGGAGGGTCTGCCAGGCGCCCGCGGCCTCCAGGGCCGCAAAGGCCAGAAGGGGCAGGCAGGGCCACCGGGCTCCCTGTGTCCACGCACCTGCGCGGCCTTCTTGGTGGGCCGGCGGGAGGGCCTGCACAGCACTGACCGCTTCCAGGCCGTGCCCTTCGACACGGAGCTGGAGAACCTGGATGGGGCCTTCCACCTGCCGTCCGGCCGCTTCCTGTGTGCCGTGCTGGGCGTCTACTTCCTGAGCCTCAGCGTGCACACGTGGGACCACAAGGAGACCTACCTGCACATCATGTGCAACGGGCGGGCCGCCGCCGTGCCGTACGCCAGCCCAGCGAGCGCAGCGTCATGCAGACCCAGAGCCTGCTGCTGCCACTGGCGCCGGCAACGCCGTCTGGGTGCGCGTGTTCCAGCGTGACCGCGACAACGCCATCTACGGCGAGCACGGCGACCTCTGTATCACCTTCAGCGGCCACTTGGTCAAGCCAGCCACGGAGCTGTAGCCCTCCCCGGCTCGCCGTGCCACATACCGCCCAGCCCAGCCAGCCGTGTCTGAGCTCCGACTGTGTACAGCGATGGCGCAGAGCGCCAGGGACACGGCCAGAGCCGGACGGACGTGGGGCCCCCCGATGGGGGTGCACGCAGACTGGGCATCCACACCAAGAAGTTTGGGAGGGAGGCCTGCAGGGCCCGGCGTTGGGGGGCCATCTGTTCTGCTTGTGAAGAGCTGAGCCTGGCACCGGGGCCGTGGACACGTTTGCAGAGCTCCTGCTGCGGACACTGGGGGGCAGGCGGGGCGTTCCCTGGAGACATGGTCTGCTCAGGGCCGACTCTGCCAAGAAACACACAGAACCCCGGGGTGTACGAGGGTGGCCAAGGCCCCGAGACAGGACGGCGTCTAGCAGAGTGGGGGTGTGGTCCCGGGCCGGAGGGGAGAGTCTCGTCCTCGGGGTGAACGCAGGGCCCAGTGTCCCCTCATCTGTCCAGAGGGTGGAGGAAGACGGCCCTTCGAGGTGCAGCCCAGAGCCCGGGGGAGCCCCAGACACCCCGGTGTCACTGTGTACTTTGATGAGGCTGAAGTTGGGGCCTGGCAGAGACGGAGCATCTCTTAGGCTGCACGCCTCCCCCTGCAGGCAGGGGTGAAGCTGGAGGATGGCGCGTTTACTCCACAGCAGGGCTCCGTCCACCGCATGGGGCCGCTGTGAGTCCGTTCCTTTACTGGCTTGTGCCCCCTGCCTGGGCCTTCTGCCCAGCCCCTCCCGTGCCCTATCACCACCGCCTCCTCCCTGGGCCTCCCCCACGTCTCCTCCTGCAGCTGCTCCCTCCTGAGCAAGGACCTGGGGCAATGAGACCGCGGAGGCCGTGGCCAGAGCAGTGTCTGGCATCTGTGGAGCCCCATGAGCTGGATGAGGTCCTGGGCTGTGGTGAGGTGGCTGGAGCTGCACAAGGGCTGCACTGGGCTGGAGATGTTGGAACCTTCTAGAAGGAAGGTCTAAGGCCACAGGCCAGGGCACAGGAGGAGGCAGACGTGGCTGCCAGAGGCCCCAGAGCCCTTTCCCTTGATGAGTGCACCAAGAGCCCCCACAGGCCTGGCCTGGGGCCTCATGGGTGCCGCCAGCTGCCAGAGGTGGGGTTCCCTCAGTCCTCGTTCACACCAGAACCCCCCCGCCCGGCAAAGAGCACCCAGCCCAGCATGAGATAAATTCCCCATACCCACCCGGTCCTGGCAGACACCTGGGAAGGTGGTGCTGAGAGTGGGGAAGGGGAGGTCATCAGGGATCATTGTCCCAGACACACAGACGGGGCTCCTCCTATCCCAAAACAGAGGAGAAACTGTGGCCCAGCAAGGGTGTATAGAACCTCTAAGTGTGTATGGTGCAGGGCGCTGGCCCCCCAGTGGCTGGGCTACCCCCACCAAGTATGGCCCTGGACAGAGGAAGGGGGCCTTACTGGGGAGGGGCTGCTGGGACCCCCTTTGTTGTCCACACAGGGCCTGTCTGCAGTGGGAAGGTCTCCCAGCCAGCAGTCCACCCTGTGGGCAGGTCCCGAAGCCTCTTGAGCAGTGGGTACGACCCACGGGCACACCTGGGTCCCCAGTAGGAGACCCTCCCTCCATAGGTCCTACAGCCCATCCCAGCCAGTGGGGTGTCCCATGGGCATGGGTTCCTGTCACTCCAAAGTGCCAGCCCAGGCCTCCCACACTGGGTCCGTGTTTGCCCCAGACAGGGTCCTGACCTGAGGAAGTCATCGACTAAGAGGTCAGCACCAGCAGGGGTCTGTACCCCAGGAGGCAGAGCATGGGGGGCTTAGCAGGGACCCCGGTTCCCCAGGAGCACACCAGCCCGAGCAGGCCCTACTGGCGTACGCGGCAGGTGTCAGCCAAGGACGCAGGACGGGGGGGCCAGGACGGGCATCCCAGGCTGTTGGACGGCGGACTATGGGAACTATGGAGCTATGGGAAGCAGCAGCCCAGGGCCCCCGACCTGCGATGCCAAACTGGGCGGACCCGCAGACTGAATTTTGGCCTCTGGCCATGCCCATCTATGGCTGCGACAACCAGACACAGCCAGGGCGGCGGCAACGGGCAGGGCCCTCAGGAGCAGCTCAGAGCACTGCGGGGCGGCGGGGGGCAGGGGCTGCAGGGGCAGAGAGGGCCTGGCGGCAGGACCAAGCCACCCAAAGAGAAAAGGGGCGCCTGTGAGAGGACTGGAAGGACCTGGCCCCCCTCCACCCTCCCTCCTGGAGGTGGACTGCCAGCGTGCAGCAGGCCAGGCAGGCCAGACGGAAGGCTCTGTCTTCCCAGCCTGTGGCCTCCGCTCCCACATCCAGCAGCATGGGGATGACGACAGGTCAGGTCTCAGAGCGGCCATGGCCAAGAGGTACCCGGGTCCAGGGCGGTCTGCTGAATCCAGCTGTTCCTGGAGCCCAGACAGGGAGGTGCTGGGACAGAGTGGCAGAGCCTCTGGGGTTGGGCCCTGGTGTCAGCTGCCGACCCAGGAGGCCAGGATGGGTTGGGCCATGAAGGGCATCTGAGAGCCCCCAGGGGCTGAGGCCAGGACAAAATGCCGGCATCCCCCCCAACACACACCTCCTCCAGGTTCATTTATTTTAAAAAAGGAACAACTGACCCCAGGGTACAGTCCACATCCCAAAATGGCCAGGCTGAGGGGTGCGGCTGCGGGCCTGGGTGGGAGGCCGCAGCTGCCCCGAGCACGTGGGGAGCAGAGAGGAAAGAGCCGGGCAGGCGCAGCACGCCAGAGGCGCCGGCCGTCTGTCTGCGGCAGGACCACAACTACGGGAGCCCTGGGGGGAAGCTGCCGGTGGCGCAGCCCTGCCACAGGCCCCCGAGGGGGACTCCCGTCAGGAGCCAGTGACCCACAGAAGTCTGCCGGTTTAGTGGATTCTAGTAAAACCTCCTTTAAAACAAAAAAAAAAACCGAGATGAGATCCACATAACGTAGGCTCGACAGCCTCACAGTGAACAATTCAGTGGCATTTAGCCCATTCCCAGTGCAGAACCACCAGCACCTCCATCTAGTTCTGAAGAGTTCTCCTCCCCCCAGAGTGACCCCAAGCCCTCCCCGGCTCCTGGCAACCCCCGATCTCGTCGTGTCCCTGGATCTGCCTCTTCTGCACGTTTCCTGGAAATCGGATTCCCATGCCACGTGGCTCTGCCCGTGGCCTCTGAACGTCGCGTCCTCCAGTTGGGGCCACGCCGTAGTGCGTGTCAGGGCCCTGTCCCACTGTGTGGATGGACCACGGCGTGTCCGTGAGAGGGCTGGTGAGCTGTCACGGATAGTGCTATTAGGAACATTTGTGAACAAAACCCACTTTTTTAGTTTTGTAGACTAACGCCGGACACAACCTAGAAAAGGGACTAGACGGGATTCTAGAACATTCTGACCCAGCCTAGGAGACGCTGAAGCAGAGCCTGAAGATACAGTAGTGAACGCCACGGCAGAGGCCGAGGGCACCCCGAGGATGAGAGTGGCTGTGTGTCCACGAGGCCGGGGGCTGTGACGCCTCCACGCTATGGATACCCCATGAGCTAACGCATGTGCCAGTGGAACAAAAGAGCCACTAGAGACACAGCCACGGAAAACACGAGGGACGCACCCCGACCACAGTGGCGTCAACCACAGCAGCCAAAACAGGGGACCCACTCAGGCTATCCGTCGACGACGAATGGACAAAATGTGGTCCATCCGCACAATGGAAGTTTCCTCGGGACACGCCAGTGCGGGCTCCACGGGGGGTGGGGACACTCTCGAGGGCAGCAGTCAGACAAGCCTGTCGCAAGGAGACAAACTCGGCAGGCTTCCCCTTCTCCAGGCCCCTCCCTCAGTCAGATCCCTGGAGGCAGACGGTGGGGGAGGTCCCCAGGGGCGGGGGCGGGTGGGGCATCAGCGGTTCCTGGGCACCAGCTTCGGTTTGGGAAGATGGAAAAGCCCCGTGGACGGTGGTCGTGGTCCCACGGCAGCGGGAACACGCTGCGCGCCCCTGAGCTGCGCACCGGGAGCGGGGGAGGGGCGCGCTCTCTATGACGTGTGTTCCCCACAGTTGAGAATACCTGAGGGACGCCTGGGTGGCTCAGTCGGTTAAGCCGCTGCCTTCGGCTCAGGTCATGATCCTGGGGTCCTGGGATCGAGTCCCGCATCGGGCTCCTTGCTCGGCGGGGAGCCTGCTTCCTCCTCTCTCTCTGCCTGCCTCTCTGCCTGCTTGTGTGTACTCTCTCTCTCTGACGAATAAATAAAATCTTAAAAAAAAAAAAAAGAAAGAAAATACCTGAAAATATTTCGCGAGTCTGTGGACGGGGAAAGACTTCTCCATCCAAAAACGGAAGTGGAAGCATTTCCCAGGCGGCCGAGCGGCAGGCTGACTCCATAAAAATAGCAAATACCAAGCCGGAAACCCAAACGCAAGACGCAGGACGCGGGAGAGTGGAGGGGGCACGACTCGTCAGCGTGGGAAGGAGTGAGAACCATCCTGTCCCCGGGCAGGCCGCGCCCACACACACGCCTTCACAGGCTGCCTGGTCACCACTGACATCCGTCCCCTCGGGGGACCCAGGCGGATGCTGCAGCTCCGCCGGGCCCCAGCAGGGTGGCCGCAGAGGACACATGGCTGGACCCTCCATCCAGGGGGCCAGGGTGGCCACGGCCAGGTGTCAGAAGCGGGAGGCCCCAGGTAATGGCAGCCTCTCTCCTGGGATGCCCATCTCCTACCCCATTGCGACAGCAGCCACAGGGCAGACCCCGGTCTGGTTCCAGGGAGACCGTGGTGTGTCTGCTGGGCGCTGAGTCAGGAGGGAGGGAGGAGACCACACAGCACAGGCTGGGTACCACGTGGGCAGGGAATGGGGGCTCTGGAGGCTAACCCAGAGCAGCTCCCAGCATGCCCTCCAGGCCTGATGGCCCCCAGAACAGAACACATATGTGGGTGGGGGGCATCGGGTGTGTCCCTTTCCCCCAGGCCCACTCCCTAGCTTTACCCTGACCGCTAT